AGTGGGTGTGTGATACAACCCAAGTTCTTAGACTAACATGCGATTTTCTGCTGGCTGAAAATTTTACTGATCAGACCTCTCTGAACTTACATTCAATACCCCTGATCTACTGGCTTAATGTACCTAAATAACTCCTGCAATACCGGTCAGTCTTGGAGAAAATGCTGATCTGGGAACTCCAGTGGCTTGCCACATGACCAGCATACAGAAATTTGGTTACCTGAAATTCGCTAGGGGAACGATTGGCCCAAAATAGAGCTCGCAAAATATCACATCACATGGAACATTAGAGCAAAATTTTTTGTTGCAAAGAAAGGTAAGCATTTTAACAAAAGTTCGGCGTGTTATTACAATGTATTTGTTTCACCAAAAAAGTTGTGCATAAGGCCACCACAAAAGCCTGCGGTTACAAGTCTGCAGCATATGATAGCATGCCAGGAAGCTGCCAGCATGTATGTGTTGGAGGAGTGATGGACCTCAGAATGGGCCGAGGTACAGCAATCAGGATCTTACTCTCAGAGGCAGCTCTCTGTCAGTGAGGGTGCCCCCCATAGGGTCCCTGGTGTAATCTATAAAGCTCTGATCCATCGAACGCTTCATAGACCATTCAAAGCATGCGTTGTACAGTCAAAAGTCTCTAAAAGAAAAATCCAAAGTGGGTTGAAGGTTATTGTCTTAATCAGAATCCAGGCCCACACATGTTCTTTTATCTCTCTCTGCCTTCCTCTAGGTTTAGTTGAGCCTGTCTCAGATTCTCTGTCCATTCGGAGTCGGAGGGTGACTATGCTCAAGGAATTTGTTGGGATCTGAAGCACATGTCCAATCAATGTCAATGCATTTTTAATCCTAGGGTGATGGGCTTTTTAACCATTATTTCTGTGAAGATGCTGTTGGGTCAAAGATGTTATGCAGGTTTAAAATGTTTAGTCCTCCTGATATTAATTTCCAGTCAAATAATTTCTGATGCCATGATTATAGAACAACTCTTAGCAATGCTCTGCCATCCACAAAATCCAGGTCTTCTAAGCAGATGCTACATGTGCAGAATAGTCCTTTCCTTGTCTAACTGCCCTCTTCACTACCCATTCCAAATCCAGGGTGAACAAAAATGAAGGAGAATACTAAAGACATCTGTCAGCTTGCTGTTAAAGATTACATTTATTATATTAACTAAAATTATTATTATTATTACATCGAGTTTATATAGCGCCAAAGGGTTTGCTCAGCGCTGTACAATAGAGGGGGGGGGCAATACATGGCACAGTACAACAATAACAAACAACGTACGAGGGGTAAGAGGGCCCTACTCTTTCGAGCTTACAATCTAGGAGGGAGGGGGTAAAGGTACAGTAGGAAGTGGCTGAGGGGAATGAGGGGTGGGAGGAAAGAGGGAGAATGGCCGTTAGGTGAGGGTGGGGTAGGCTTCACTAAAGAGATGGGTTTTGAGGGAGCGCCTGAATGTGAAGAGGGAAGGCGACAGTCTGATGGATTGGGGCAGTGAGTTCCAGAGGATGGGGGAGGACCTGGAGAAGTCCTGCAGTCGTGCATGGGAGGAGGAGACCAGGGAGCAGGATAGAAGGAGGTCCAGTGTTGCTTTACAAAGCTGGAGTCAGGTTTTAGGGGTGTTTGATTTTTTTTCTCTGCCTTTAAACACCTCTCAATGTTAGCCTATGTGACCATGCACACATAAGCGTTTACAGGTGTTCAGATGCAGGAGCGTTTAGAGGCAGAACCCCACCCCCCTCTGACGTGTAGCAGCAGCATTTTGGCAGAAAATACTTGGTGTGTAAACGCATGTAGATGAGCATTATTCATTATTAATGAAATTAACACCCAAGTGCTCGATGCTCCTAAACACCTTTACATAAATGCAGCTTTAGATGAGTTTTTGACACCAATTTTATTCTGCCAGGAGAAAGGCATTCATGTGAGCTGGGCAAACTCCCAGTGTGCATGAGGCCCTAAAATGATTGTAAAGGCTCAATGTTTTCTACCTTCATGCAGTCCCCACAAATACTTACCTGAGCCTTCTCTGGATTCAGCTATGTGCACAAAAGCCATGGCTCTCCCAGGACTCTTCTTCCTCAATGGCTGAGGCAGCAGCAGGAGCCATTAGCTCCCACTACTGTCAATCACAGCCAGTTAGCCAATGAGGAGAAAGAGTGGGCTGGGCCGAGCTGTGCTCTGTGTGTGAGTGGACACAGAGCAGTGGCTCAGAAGCAAGACTGCTTGGATGTCCCCATAGCAAGCTGCCTGCTCTGGAGGCACTTGGCAGGAGGGAGGGGCTGAAGGTTCAAGCTGAAGTAATGTATAAAAAGAGGTATAGACTCCAGAGAGAGGGATATCATTGTACCCCTGTACAAATCATTAGTAACACCTCATCTGGAATATGCAGTTCAGTTTAGGCACCAATTCACAAAAAGAACATTGGGGAACTGGAGAAAGCACAGAGAAGGGCAACCAAACTGAAATGAGGCATGGAGGAGATCAGCTATGAGGAAAGATTAGAGGAACTGAATGTATTCTCTTGAGAAGAGGAGATTAAGGGGGGATATGATCAACATGTATAAATACATCAGTGGTTCATATAGTGAACTCGGTGTAGAGCTATTCACCCTGAGGTCATCACAGAGAACAAGGAGGCACTCTTTACGTCTGGAGGGAAAGAAATGTAATCTCCAAACACGGAAAGGTTTCTTCACAGTGAGAACTGTGAAAATGTGGAATAGACTTCCTCAAGAGTTGGTTCTGGCCAGCTCAGTGGATTGCTTTAAAAAAGGCCTGGATTGTTTCTTAGATACACAGAATATAACTGGATACTAACATTTATATGTAAAGTGGGTGTAGGATTATAACTTTTTTTTTTTTATGGTTGAGCTGGATGGACTTTGTCTAACTATGTAATGGGTAGGGCTATGCTAAAGAGGCATTATAAATTTAGATAGCCAATGCATTAACCACATTAAATACTTAACGTGATAGCAAACACTGAAATGTTATAAGCCCACAGTGCTGCAAACCTCAGCACTTATCAGGGCTTACTTCACCTGTTACCACGTTAATAAAATGGATTCGAGTGTCTCCCAGAGCTTTTGGAGGTGCACTTATTCTCCTGGAAATTTCATCCATATCTTCTGGTTCTGCCCTGCCATCGTGAACAATTCTGGGAGTCGGTCCTTCAAGTCATCCATTCCATCTCTGTTGTGGTTCCCTCTTCTCTATTAGTCTGCCTACTGGGCCTTGTGGAAGAATTGGCCTGACAAGAGTGGAATGCTGGGACTTCCTCTATTTTACATCCGGAAATCCATCAGTCTTCCTGGAAAAAGCTCACCCCACCCACAGTGGCATTCTGGAAACAACTGGTTAATGCCACCTTTCTCTTGTATAAAACGCATCTACTTTAATAGAGGCTGTCCAAAATTTTTTATAAAGTATGGTCTACATGGCTAAATAATGATTCTACAGCAATGATGTCGGTCGCTCCTTGAACACTGCTTTCTGCTTCCATATGAAATTGGGGGGAACATTGAAGATTTTAGTGCCTCTAGTATTCTGCAGCAAGTTGATCTTATGAGCGTATACCTGGGGTACAGCATCTCACACAAACACACACTAAGAATTCTTTCATTTTAATTTTTTTTGGCTCTGGCCTTTTGTATTATGCTCGGCCTAGGCAACCTCTGCATGGGCTATACCTTAATATACAGAATGGAAAACAACAAAAAACCTCAGCACATACCACCTTTGCTCTGTTGTATTCATATTAACTATGTGGTAGCTTTACGTTCCAACTTGAAAAACTGATTCTCCCCCAGCAACTTCTTTAGGGTGGCTCCATCCACCTGCCAGATACCACGGAGCCACTTGTGTGTGCACTTGTGACTGAGGCAGAGTACGTCTTGCCCATGCATTCAATATTACAAGACCCTATAGCAGGCAAGCCACTCCCTGGCGCCTCCCTCCTCCAGCAGTTTCATAGACAGCAGCAAAAGCCTGCATTGTGCAAGCAAACAGCACCCTGCTGGCGTCTTCAGGTGCTTTCCTACCCGACCATTTGGAAAGGCAGCATGGAGTGCTCTGCAGCCAGCAGCAGAGAGCATTTCAAGACATAAAAAATAGAACATGGACTGCAGAATGTTTATCTCATTAGGAGGAGTGGTTACAAATTGCAGCATTTAATACTACTTTAAGTTGTTGAGCTAATCTGGAAAAACATTTTTCACATTTGCAGATCTACTTTTCCTTTTTCAAGGCACAGCTTTTGTTAGCATTTTGAAGCCAGCAAAGCAAACTCCAAATGCAGCCAGCACCCATCAAAAACATTGGGGAGCTCTGCCAAGATCCTCCCAAAGGCTAATGTTCAAGTAAACAGGGCCATGAACCAAATGTATAAAATAAACAGTTACCAAATGTGCACTTTATAGTGGGATTTTATTTATTTTCAGTAAGGATTACTCAGAAGACCAAACGTGGTCTTCTTGGCAGCATTTGTAGATGTATAAAAGCAAATTGGGCATACTACCATGACCCACCTGCCTATAATTATTATCATGATACAGTAACAAGTGAATACACACATGGAGTAAACTCACAGAGTCAGCAGTACCCACTAATAGTTATAAAACCCTACCAATTTTTAAGTTCAACTCAAGGCAAACAGCTAAATGTACACAGATGAATGCATATATGGCGGTTTTTGCCTGCCTAATCACTTGGATTTCTGTCCACCCATCTGAGCATTCTTCTTCTACCAGTAAAAATGCAGTTAAGTTACCTCTCTGTCTCCAGGCTGCGAGTGAATAGAAGTTCCAAGCCCTTCCTACTTCACCCCAAACTAAAACAGAAAAATGGTGTCTTTTGATGAATTTAATTGATTTTCAATTCAAATACATCTGCATAAATTGGTGTGTTTTATCTGCCCGGAGCTCAGCTTTAATCCAATAGGTGATGTTGTACAGTGAACACAAACAAATCTAATCAGATTGCATTTGACAACTTACCTTCAATGGTTCCCCACTTGGTTTTCCGGCCCAGTATTCGCCTACCATTAATTTGGTACTCTTGGTCACTACCGACAACAGCAAATGGAATCATTTCCTGTGACAGAAGAGAGGAAGGCTCATTAGCATGATGTATGTGGGCAGTAGGCACAGCCGCATGTATACATCAGGGGTGCAAACATGTGCGGTTGCAGGGCAGGGAATGCCTCGGCTGCTAATGTTTGGCTTTGTGCAGTGACAGCTCACTGGCAGAATAGCTCAAGTGGGTTTGGACTAAGATTGGAACACGTCTGAGCTCATTCCTTGTAGGCAGGAATACAACTGAAAAGTGATTACCAATGTATTCTACTAATAAAGTGTTATACAGACATCCAAGGCAACAGAATGGATAGTGTGATTGGACTGCATTGGAATGGATAGTATGGCTGACCACTTACTCTGATCTTCTCATTCACCAGCCGGTCTTCTGCATCCTCATCAAACTCCTTCTGAGGATAGATGTCTATACCATTGTTCTGTAGATCTTGACGGATCTGTAAAGATAGAACAAACATATTTATTAAAATATAATCTTTGGGGAAAGATGCTGTTCTTTTGCAAAAATTGTAATAGCAATTAGCAAACGGAAAATGTACTTGCAGAAGTTGTTTCTTGACTAGGTGTCCATGCAAGTTATAATTATAATTTCAGATATTTATATAGCGCTGACAATTTACGCAGCGCTTTACATACATATATTGTACATTCACATTAGCCCCTAACCCTCAAGGGGAGTACAATCTAAGGTCCCTAAAATAAAGACAACACAGCGAAATTCTTAATATACCTACTAGAACTGTGTGCAACCGATCGCTGTACGGTACCTCTGTGTGTGAGGTCCCGATAATGTGATCACTGATTGGCCAATCAGTGATCACATGAATAGTAGTAAGCAAGATGTCACTTGCTGACATCATTGCTTACTACTAGTGAAATCTGTGAATGATCACAGAGGTCACATGGCACAAAGCTATTCACAGCAGCCTTTTTGGTTGCAAAAGCAATCAGAGTACAAAAAAAAACAAATCTCCCCCCCCCCCCCCCACAAGTAGTACAGTGTCACTATGGGGACACTGTACTGCTAGGGTGACAGTATGTAAAAAAAAAAAAAAAAAAAAAAAAAATTTAGGAGCACCTGATTAAATCACATGCAATCCCTAATTAGTTGTCACAAGCTGAACTTTCCTGGGTAGCACTTTGCCTTCTTCTCGATGATGGGCAACCATTTGCAATGTGGATTCCACCAAATCAGAATAAAACAAATCAAAGCAAGAAAAGGAATTCCCTTATGTGTGTGGCCAAAAAAAGCGTTCTTTGCAACATTCCCCAAGGAAGTGCAGTGTTTCAATGCACTGACACAAGTTTCACCACACTGGGTTAGGCAGACCATTAAAAATTAATAAATTGCAGTACATCTCAATACATATTTAAAAAAAAAAAAAAAAAAAGATGCTGTCTACATTTTTTCATAACACACAATGTGCATTGCGCTGCACTCTGGTGTGTTGCAATGCTCCTGCATTTTGGAGGTATGTGGAGAGCCAATCATAAGAAATGGCCCTGCAGCACACCAACACACAACACATATGAATGGGTTCTTATGGCAAAGAAACAAGGTTTTAATTTATGGTGGCAGAGTAATCAAAGGTAATGTTATGGTTTATTAATAGATTTTAATATTGTTCCAATAGCTTCTACTTTCATGGTTTTAATCGCTACTTTGCTGCTATAGTGTGTAGAAATATGGCTGTGCAGTCCAATAGACACTGGAGTTTGACCAGGGTGCTCTGAAGCAGGGTATACACTGTGGGGGAGAATTACTAAAACCGGTGAACTTTGGCAATAAAACCTGGAAGCTGATTGTCAATCAAATAATGGCAACCACAACAGCGCTCGAATCTTGGGGCTCCACAATTTCACTTGATGAGGTGCAGTCCTCCACAGATTGGGGAATCTAGGAACTAGCAAGAAAAAACACAAGAGGGCGCAATCTCCTCGTGCATTACCGTGATGACAGATTTATGAAAACATAGTGTTCACAAATGGATACTCACAAGCAAACCATAAAAACCGACAGAGACAGATCTTTTAGTCCCAGACAGTGAGGTCCTGTTCCAAAAGCACCTGTCTGGGACTGGAATTTCTGCCATGTTTCAGGAGATGAACTCCTTTCCTCAGAGCTGACCTCAGCTCTGAGGAAGGGAGTTCATCTCCCGAAACGCATCTCGAGTACTTTTGGAACAGGACTGTCTTTATGGTTTGTTTTTTGTGAGTATCCTTTTGTGATCTAGGTTTTAATAAATCTGTCATCACGGTAATGCACAAGGAGAGTGCATCCTCTTGTGTTTTCTTGCTGGAAGGCGATTGGTTTCCATGCAGAGCTAACTGCACCAGATTTTGCATTCTCCGGTTTTAGTAAATAACACCCTGTGAGTTTTTTCACATTGGGTTGAACGGAAAAAAAAAAAAAAAAAAAAAAACACAGATCCCCACATCAAAACAAGTAATGTTCATGCAGAGATCTCTTCTGCTGTATTTTTGTATCCTGACAGCGGGGACTTCGCCCTGGGACTCCTAGTCAGGGGTACACATGGACCAAAAGTCAGCCTTTTCTTGCTGAATTGGCTGACTTTTGGTACGTGTATGTCCAGCTTAACCACGTCCCATCCGACCATGTACATAAAACGGCTGGACAGAGCAGTGCAGGAGTGGGTGACCATTTATAAACATCCTCCAGCATCCATTGGCTGTGTCTGGAGGACACAGAGGAACACTGATCGCTGTACGGGACCTCTGTATGAGGGTACTGATCATGTGATCACTGATTGGCCAATCAGTGATCACATGAATAGTACTAAGCAAGATGTCACTTGCTGACATTTCTTACCACATAGTACAAGGCTATTCACAACAGTCTTGTACCATGTGACAAGGTGTGACCAATCACAGCTCTCAGTATTTCTCAATGGCTGCAAGAATGCAGCCAGAGAGAAGGAGAATGTATTGCTTTTACAGCCTGTATGAGTGTAAAAGCAATCAGTGTAAAAAAAAAAAAAAAAAAACTTCACCCCCCCCCACAAGTAGTACAGTGTCACTATGGCGACACTGTACTGCTAGGGTGACAGTATGTAAAAAAAAAAAAAAAAAAAAAAACAAAAAACAATATAAAAAAATAAAATAAAAATGTTTTGTAAAATTAAAATAAAACGGATTTCAGTTATTTTTTTTTCTACTAAAAAGATAGCTGAATACATTTTGGTCAAGATTTATAAAGAAAGATTATTTATTTGCAAAATTGTATAAGAAAAACACTGTTTTTTTTCAAAATGTTTGGACTTTCATTTATATAGCAAAAAAATAAATACCACCAAAATAAAGTTTTATCTGTCTAAAAAAAAAATGCTAAAAAATTCATATGGGTACAGTGTTGCATGAACGTGCAATTGTCATTCAAAGTGTGACAGCACTGAAAGCTAAAAATTGGCCTGGACAGGAAGGGGGTGAAAGTGTCTGGACTTGAAGTGGTTAAAGGCTTCTGTACATGGGCACTGCTTAGCGGCTATTGATGTGCTCATAGGTAGCAGGTCTTTAGATTCCCATTTACCTTGCTGGTGCAGTATGGATGATTTGAGGCTCTGTTTCATCTGCAAGCCCTATTAGAGATGCATTGCAGGCAAGGCTCAAATGCAGTCTTTTGTGTTTACATTTGTCGTTGAGCTGTGCTGTGTTTGAATGTAAAAGCTTATGCTAGACAGCAGTAACCGTGTCCACAAGCCCTAACAGACCTCTCTTTATCCATAATACAAGTATGAGTGAGAACGCATGTGATGAAGGGTGCGGCCAGGACTCTATGCCATCACAGAACCCGGCAGTGAGAGTGCAGAAGCAGCATTCTGACTAAGAGGAAAAAGGTATTTTAAGGCCTTTCCAAGCAAAAATTAGTAAAAGTCTATCCACCCGATTGCACTGGCACATAATCATACCTATTGGCACTCCAACCGATCTAGGCAATGCAGCGCACCGTACTCGCCTTTTAGCTGTCTTCAAAGAAAAAAAAATTCCAAATTTCTTTTTCTCCGTGCTTCAAGGTGTTCTTCAAGCCCATTCATGGTGTGCCTTATGTGTGTGAACATGATGCATACTGTGGATTAAGTCCTAAAAATCCTAGACAGCAGTACAAGACTATATAGAAAACAAATGGTGAGAAACTTCAGCTGGCCTTTGCAATTGTCAGCTTTAAGCTGGATGAATCAACTCAGCCCATTTTTTTCAACAAGAAATTTCTTAGAATTTATTTTTTGAACGGATTTGTACACGCACGCACGTACACACGCACACGATTTACATTTGACGAGATAAACTTTATAGTCTAAAAATGTGTGAAAGATGTTTGATTGCAGCTGTTTCATTTGCCTAAAACAATATCCTGTGTATAGTCATAGTAGCCGACACTCAGGAAGCACCAGTAATGCTTCTTCAACACTTACTTTATCAAGATCAGAAGAGCACAGGAAACCGGTAACAGTATGTTGGTTACACAAATTCCACACTGCTCGGCATAGAAGAAACTGCAACAGCCAACTGACGTTAGCCACAATGACTAGTAGCGCACATGTACTGCACCAAACGTGCCTTTAAAGCAAAATTAAACTCTTCAGTTTTTTATACAGACACCACCAGAAGCTGTTAGCCATAATGTACTTGTATGCAGAGCATATTAGCACATTATGGCAGATTAAACTATCAAATGACCCCTCCAACACTGCGCTGTCAGTGTTCCCACTGGTCACGAGTCCTTCCGTCTTCTTCCGGCCTTTTGTCCAGATCCAAACTGCTCGCCCACATAACTGGCTGGGCCATGATGACGTCAAATCCCACACATGCACATGAGAGTCACATCATCATGTCAGGGTGCCATAAATGTATGCTCTGCATGTGTGGCTTAGTGTCCATTAACCTTGATAGGCAGAGAAAAACAGTTATGACCAATAGGCGCTGTTCTGTCATAAAAGTCCTACCAATTTTTGGTACACAATGAAGGTTTAAACCAGCTGACAATTTCTTAGATCTCTTGGGGACACTTTCCGTTCCCATGTCTGCACACTTGCTGTGACCATTATGGAGGGTTCCCACTCTCCCTGCTGTATTTCTTATTTTATCCCACACTACAAAGACATGCTGGTAGGTGAATTGGCTCCTGTCTAAATTGGCCCTAGTATGTGTATGTATGAATGTGAGTTAGGGACCTTAGATTGTACACCCCTTGAGGGTTAGGGACTGATGTGAATGTACAATATATATGTAAAAGTGCTGCGGAAATTGACAGCGCTATACAAGTACCTGAAATAAATAAATATTAAGGAAACCATAAAAGAAAGTGCTGCAACACACAATATTTCCAGACAGACAGTAAAGAATTGTGGAAGTTTGATATTGCTATTTTATCCTCCAAATCACATAAGAATCCTGGGCCTGATCAACCCACTAGGCTCTACCTGGAACAAAATATTACTTTTGGGTAGACTGGGACTTTAACACCCCTCATACTGCTTCTGTCTTTGACTGAAAAAAAAAAAAAAAAAAAACTTGAACAGGAGAAAAAGGCAAACACGCTGGAAAAATACATCTAGTGCATCCTTAATGTGAACCTGTGCCCAGACATATGTTAAATTATTTACAAATTATTTATATACTCTCAACACGCAGTAATAGAGCTTTAAAAAAGCCATCCCTGACCTCTCTAGTTGTTTGTAATGTGAAGCAATTTGTTCTCAAAGATCACAACACAAGAACCCTAGAGTAAGACATCTGTTTCGAAGGCTACATTCACACACCAGCAATTGGGGCATGTGTGAATTGTAGTGCCAGCAATCTGAGATTCCTGTGGCTAGGTGCGGCCATCGGCCCTATTCACTATGATGACATGTCACCGGCAAACGCAGCTATTCGCTGCTCTCTGCACAGCCAACGATTACCTGCCTCCAGCGGTGCTCACCATAGGTAATTGTTGGCTGTGCAGAGCAGCAAATAGCTGCGGCTGCCAATGACCTGTCATTATAGTGAATGGGGCCAGCGGCCGTACCTAGCTGCAGAAGGAACTGCCGCTACAATTTGCACTGTCCTTAACCGCTGGTGTGAATGTAGCCTAACAGCTAAGGACCTCTTCACACCATGTGTTTGTTTGCAGTAACACACATTACCACAGCGCATGCTAGGTGGACTGGTGTGATGTGGTGCCATTTATTCTGAACCCTAAAGCACCATTCGAAGGATGTGCATTAGGGTGGTGCGCTGCCAAAAATTAAAAGTATGCAAATCATGTCCGTTGGAAGGTGCATTGGGGTACCTTTTCTAATGCAATGGACTTATCAGGCGCTGAATTAATGTGTGCACTCCAACAAATACATGGTGCAAACAGGCCCTTAAAAATGCCTGCTTGTTTACATTAGAGGGCTGACTATCTGCCAAGATCTGTTATCCACATAAATAAGGCTGTTGTGAAATTTGAAGACACATTTCTCCACAATGCCTATAACTAAAGAAGTGAAGGACGGCTTATTTTGAAATGCTTTTCCTGTTCGTTCAGAATACCCCAAGGGTCCTTTCACACAGGCTTGCTGTTTTTTTCATCAGTTCAGTCACGTTTTTTCAAAGAAAAAAAACGATCAGTTGACATCCGTTTTCCGTCTGGTTCATTTTTTTTTTTTTACAGAAGAAAAAGTTTTTTTCCATTCAAAGAAACGGATGTTAACCACTTCAAGTCCGGACACTTTCACCCCCTTCCCGTCCTGGCCAATTTTCAGTGCCATCACACTTTGAATGGCAATTGCTTGGTTATGCAACACTGTACTCATATGAACTTTTTAGCATTTTTTTGAGACAGATAAAACTTTATTTTGGTGGTATTTATTCACCACTGGGATTTTTTCTTTTTTTTGCTATATAAATGAAAATGTCCAAACATTTTGAAAACAAGTGTTTTTCTTATAAAATTTTGCAAATAATCTCTTTCTCCATAAATGTTGGCCAAAATGTATTCAGCAATCTTTTTAGTACAAAAAACAAATGAAAAGAAAACACCTAAATTAGTTTATAACCAAAAATATTTTTTTTTTCACATTTTTATATTATTATTTATGTGTGTGTGTTTTTTTTAACATACTGTCACCCTAGCAGTACAGTGTCACCACAGTGACACTGTACTACTTGTGGGGGGTGATGAAGATTTTTTTTTTTTTTTTTTACACTGATTGCACACCCATAAAGGCTGTAAAAGCAATATTTCTCCTCTTTGACTGTATTCTTGCAGCCATTGAGAAATATTGTGAGAGCTGTGATTGGCCACAGCTTGTCACATGGTACAAGGCTGTTGGGAATAGCCTTGTACCATGTGACCTCTGTGATCATTCACATATTTCACTAGTAGTAAGCAATGATGTCAGCAAGTGACATCTTGCTTAC